ATTTGAAAAAAAAATCTGAAAAATGTTAAAAGACAATTTCATATTTTTTTTACAAATATTTTATTTTTTAAGTGCATCTAGATTAGGTGCATCTAAAAAGTAAAAAAATAAAATAAAATAAAATATGAAAAAGTTCACTAAAGACTCCACCCCCCCCCCTCCAAAAAAAAATTTAGAAAAACAAAAGACTTAAAAGCTATTCATAAATTAAACCAAAGAAGGTGAAAGTTTTTCATTATCTTTGACAAAAAAATTGCACTTTTGTTGGTTGATTTTATTCTATGGATGGAGCTATATGTATAGGGAAATGTGATTCATCTCAAAGAATGAAATACAAAGAACTGTAGGAAGTACATAGAATGAATTTCTGTGATCAAGCCATGTGTACAAAGAATGTGATTCCTCTCTAGCTATACAAATAATACTATTCTGTAGGTCAAGCTATGTAGTGTAGGAAACAGAATGTGATTCCTCTCACAGAAGGTGTTATATAATAAAAATAAACTAAAGTTCACTGGGTTGCATATATGAGGCATTGTAGGCACCCCATTTTTGACCGTCCTCAAGACTTGGACGTCACCATTTGAACACTCGGTGATCATCCATGTTTGTGTTCGTCTTGAGTTCCCGGAGGTCTCGGCTTGCACGCCTTGCCTCAGGATCTCTCGACTCGACTGTTTAGTGTCTGGTTTTGCACCAAACACTTGTGTTTTGCCTTGGAGGGGCAGCGAATGCCTTGTGAGGCATCCCTACACATCACCGGCCATGGCCAGAGGCCACCGGCTGGTGTTTTGTTGCCATCAGCAATATATATTGCCGGTCGGTATTCTTTGTTGCCGGTCGGCAGACCATTTTGTCAAGATGGCAATTTTGAGCAGCCGACTACTGTTCATCTGCTTTTACAGATATTTTAATCCAGCTGTATGGCATTTTGTTCTCCTCCATACACGTGTATGGAGGGATGGCCTTCTTGTTAGCTTACCTTGTAAGCTTTACAAGATTGGCTCCTCTATAAGAGGAGCCCTCCCCTCTTGGCTTGAGGGTTGGACAAAGGTTAGAAAATATACAGAGGAGAGCTCTGGATTAGGGTTAGGGTTTGTGTCTCACCTATCTCTATTTCTCTCTTTCTTTTTACCTTTGTGTGTGCATAAGCGCATTTGTGTCTTACTATTGCACACAAACACATAGTGTTACACCTTCCCTTGGCTACTGAGGTTCTAAGAGGTTGTTCTTGAGGCTCTTGGGTGGTTTTGAGCTTGGAGGAGCAGCTGGTCCACCATTGTTGAAGAGGTCTTCAAGGGTAACAATCTTACCCCTTTTTACCCCTTTCTTGCATTGCATTTTTTCCCATCTTAGAACTGTTTTTGAGCTTAGTGTATAATATAAAAAAGTTCTGTTTTTAGGCCCTCTAAATAGTTTGTTTAGAGTGTTTTGTGGTTTGGAGGTGTTTGACCCCTCTTACGCCTTGAGAGGCCCCATTTTGTGTTATTTTGAGTGAGCTCCGGGACCTTGGTGTTTGGGCCTCCTCACCACTGAAATCTTGAGGGATTTCAGAGGTGAGGATGGCGCCTTGAGGTCCTAGGGATGAGAGGGCCACCCCCTCTCCTTGTTGTCCTTGAAATGGACCATTTTTGGCCTCTTGAGGGAGCACCTAGCTAAGCTTCATATTGACCATGCCTTGGCTGTTTTTTATGCTTATAATGTCATAATATGCCTCTATTTTAAGTTGGTTTTGGTACACCATGCATGCTTAGCATACCTACCTTGTAATGCCATGTGTAGGCCTTAATATGCCTTAGGTTGTAAGCCCTTGTTCTAGCATATTTTAGGCCTAGCTTTGTGAAGCTTTAGTGCATGTTTTTGTATGCTTTAGCTCTGTTTTAAATTGCTTGAGTCATACTTGCTATGTATTGCATAGCTCCTTTGCATTTTTGGTTTGTTAGCCTTAAGTTTTGGACCATGTTGCATGCTTAGCCTATCTTGTTTGCTTGGTTTGGCACCATCTTAACATGATTCCAGAGCTTACATTGCATGTCATTAGTCCATGCTTAGCCTCTTTTAAATGTGCTTGAAAGTTGCCTTTGTTTGCTTAAGTATAGGCCCATTAACATGTGCATGTGTGCAAGTGTGTTTGGTCCCATTTCTTAAGTTTTTGGCCACGCACTCCCGCTCGCCCGATCAAAGATCGACCTCTACTAATCATGATATGTTGTTTTATAAGCCTCGTGTGTTCTTATTCCGGTTATTAGCTAACTTTACTATGTGACGCACACAAGCAAGAATAGACTAAAATCGCAAGAATTAGAACGAATTCCAGATATAGAGTCGCCACCTAAATTATTTAAAATGGGGAATTTAGGAAACCCTGACTCGTGCCAAAGGCCACGTGTTTGTCATCACCAAAGTTGCCTCGGCTCGGGAACTTGGGTACGATCGGGAAGGTCAGCTATGAGCACCCCTCTCACCGATATCGGCCTCTACTAACCGTGATATCCGTTTTTGAAAACGTTATGTGTTCTTATCTCGATTATTAGCCTAGAATTACTATGTTATGCGCACAGCAAACAAGTATAGACTAGATTGCCTAATTTGGAAATAAGCATTGATATCCGTTTGTTTTGGAAAAATGTTTTGGAATTTGCTACCCGCAAGTAGGCTAAAACACGGATTTCAACGAGTGTTTCCAACTCAGACAATCCAACCTTCACCCACAGGCATTCAAACAGTTGATCACATAAGTCTAGCCACATGGTAAGCATCCGTCATAATAGCATTCACACGCATGCGGTATGCTAAAGCATAAAATACTTACATCGTACTCCGTGCCAAAACAATAAACTAGTTAGCCAACATGCATGGTCCTAGGTCATGTCAAATTGACTAATGCAACACATACAGGATGCAATTTAGAGTAGGGTCGGCTAACCTAAACATGGCATGTGAAATGCAATCAGTTGATACACGTATTCAATTTGGAATTGAAGTACAAATGCAGTTAGCATGATGTACCGAGCCTGGTGCATGTAAGACAAATGTATGGATGCCAGTATGCATAGCATAAGTATGCTAATTTGAACATGCCCTAATCTACCTCATAAA